TGTGTGTGTGTGTGTGTGTGTGTGTTTGACATTGTACTTCATTAACTATTTGTTAACTTCTCCTACACACTTAATTTTTTTTATTCGATTATATACTGTGTAAATATATTTTGGCCTATTATGAGACAATATCATGTATTTTAACAATTGTTTTATTACAATACTCAAAAATAAATTAAATAGGAACATAAGATGTAATGATTATACCAAATGTGAAGGGGTCACCTAAAACTCCAGGTTAAGGGGGAAAGCAGGCTGGACAGCAGCTTTGGTATTATAGGACGATACAGGGGTCCGACAGAGTATTGGGTAAAATGTTAAGATTTAATATTTGCTTTTAAGTTTTATTACAAAGAAATTAAAAAAAAATGTGTATTCAGTACATTTTCGACTGCCTTAATTATTTGGACCTTGCCGATTTGGGGTAAGGACCGTAGGGCCTACTCACCCACTCATTAAAATAACGCTTCATTAACATGTACACTTTACATAATATATTAAATCAATCAAACAATCAGTTTTATTTTCTGAATTTGTATTCTTATACCTCATGAAGGTATGAATATCATGAAGTCTCTAAAAAATGTTTTAATCTAATGAGATTTATACTTAGTTAGCCCTAACTTAACACAGATGCCAAAATTAAAATAGTTTGAATGTATTTCTCACTAGTTCAATCTCTATTCTTTCAGTGTCTCAGGTCAAATCTACCGATACATCAATAAAGTGAGAAGCCGAAGTACAATCGTTGTCAGTGGAACACGATGTGTATTAAATTGCCGGAACACAAGATGCTATCAATAGCCGGATATATGAGGTCTTATTTCTTCAAATAATCGTGCGCGCATATTTATTATGATTTATATCACTGGATAGCCGGAATTGAAATCAAATTTGCCAATTATGTTTCTTATACTTAAATATAATTAGGCCTAAGCATTGTTATATTATAGTAGGTGAATCCCATTGGGAATAGGATTTTTTTTCCTTTATAGCCTGGCCTTTCTAAGAGTAAAACAGAATAAATTTAAAATTCTTAAATTATATTAGGCCTATATAAAACTAGAATCTTTATATTCTATTTATATTACGTTTATACAGTTTTGATGTCACATTTCCGAGTATGCAAGAAATAAAAGTAAACTGTAGTGTAATTTATAAAACATCATTGTGTGTACTTCCTTTGTCGTAATTGCATTAATAATATTATATATTTCATGATTAAAATCAAATTAAATATATTATAATCACTTCGAATTCGAATATAGCATTATTACACGCTACTATATCTTATAAACACTCTTTCCAAATAATTTCACATTATACCAACAAATTTCGAAACTTATCAGTGCAAGGTTAAGTCGAATTTTACAAAACAGGAAATGACGTCGGTTGCTAGGCTACAGCTCATGCATATTCAGTAACACCTGTGCTCATTAGACTAACAATAAAAACTTTTAGCTCAATTTTGACAAAATCGACCAAAAAGATTTTATTGTTAGTCTAATTAGAACAGGTGTCACTGAATATTCATGATATGCTTGAGCTTGTTGCTTAGCAACCACGTCATTTCCGGTTTTATGTTTTTGTTGAGGGCGTCCTCAAAAGAATTACTAGTTTAATAATTAAAGTAGCACATATTGATGAAGGAATTCTTCACTTTTGGTTAAGCTTATAATAAGGATATTTTAGCTATTAAATTTATTACAGTAAACACAGACATTAAATAAGATGAGAAGAGATGCACAATTCCATTTGACATTTATTTTCAAGCATTATATCTATATTCTTCACAACAACAGGTTACTTTATTAATAAGATAAACATTAGCAGTAATAATACAATATTACTATCTATAAATAATTGGAATGTTCTGTTGCCCTTTCTGTCCGGACATCCTTTTCTGATAGTTGTGGCTTCTTTGTCTACATCACTGGAATAGAAAAATATTAAGAAAAGTTTAAGAAACAGAGGAAGAATTATAATGGAGTATCATCAAAACATAAATAAAAAACAGTGGCAGATCCAGGATTTTGAAATAGAGGGGCACTCTCAGATTTTAAATTTGAATATAATTTTCCTTTTTTTCTCCATTTTTTTTTTACCATTTTAAAAGATTGGGGGGGGGGGGGGCAGGCCGGCTTCCCACTCACCCTTAAATCCGCCACTGGTGATTAGTGAGCACCCCAACCTTAACATTATTGTATTCAGTTATCGCAATGGACAATGCTGCTGATACAACATAATAGTACTTCACAATTCTTATCATATCAGCATTTATCATATTAAATATTAATTATTTATAGTATCATCATATTACGGAATGATGTGAGGATTTTTAAATACATGGTATTGGGTAGGACTAGTAGATCGCAATAGCGTAAACAAATTATGTTAGCATTCCGATTGTCATGAGCAAATAAAATTTATAAAAAGTGTACTATTCGATAGAAATGAATATATAGATTCATAAATAGAGTATATTCAAAAAATAAACATAATACTATAACTATACCTTCATACAAACATTTTTTCATGATATAATATTTTTGGAATGATTGATTGAATTTATTCGATGCTCCACATGCACAAGCAAGATAACAAATGGATAGAGATAAAGAAAAGTAAAAATTACCGAGCATCAGGAACGCCCATTAGGCCGGAGTCCAGCCCATTTCCAATGAGGTCCAACTTAAATATACGCTTGTCTGTCATGAGCTGAAAGATAAACGAAGTATTTCACATTTCGACTTTCTTTTGGAGGGGCGCCATGAGCGTTTCCTGTTACCGGATACCGGCGCTTTATTTCATTAATATTATTATCATTCGTATTCTTGTTTATTATTATTATTATTAATATTATTATTATTATTATTATTATTATTATTATTATTATTATTATTATTATTATTATTATTATTATCATTATTATTATTAGTATTATTATTATTATTATTATTATTATTATTATTATTATTACTAGACCTATTATTAGGCCTATTATTATTATTATTATTATTATTATTATTATTATTATTATTATTATGGGCCTATATAAAATGCTCAACTGCTCTGTATATTTGAATAGGGGAAGTGTGCGACCGGCCCCCGCCTAAATTATTAAAAAAAATAATTCAAAAATGGAGGAAAAATGAAAACTGTATTCATATTTAAGTCGTTTCCGGCCATCTAGTGCATGGACCATGGAGGTGACAATCATAAATCCACACGTGAGTGTCCCCCATATTTCGAATTTCTGGATCCGTCACTACAGTAGTAGCTTCATTTGATATCGAAATCATGGAAGTACACATCTATTCGCTGTCCTTTAAAAATAATATAGAAAATATTTTTTTCGGGCTATAACGAATTTCGATTATTTAAGGTTAAAAGTTGTGCACCAGACAGTGGCGGCGCCAGAATTTCCCCGACGCCCCCGATGAGAAAAAGTGGGCGTGGTCGGGCGTCGCTAAAAACCTTTTGAAAGTGGTCCAGGGGACGTAGCAACCCACCCCTCCCCCCCCCCCGAAAATATGACAATTTAGGGGCCCTCACTATCCCTCCCCTCACCCGGTAGCGCCGCCACTGGCAGATATATATTATTATATAATATTATAAACTCTTGTTAATAAATTGCATATAAATGTAAATGAAAAAAACAAATACGACTCTACAATGTAAACAACGAACGGAAGTTAACAAGCCCCAAGCTGTAATTCAACTGTAAAAAAATTTTCTTTAGCCAGTTTCAGGTCTTTGGTGGTTTTAGCGAGCCACTTGGAATGTATGTTGTTGAATAGAATGCAGCCATGTCAGTGCATGCTTATGTCGAGGAAATTTGTCAATGCCTTCAGTGCGGCTGCCTAACAAACTTAGGAAAAACAATAACCAAAAATGATGGCAGAAATCCCATTTAACTAGTGAATTAAGATCCAAAATGATCAATACTGTACTCACATTTGTTATTAATTGCAAAGTCTTCTTCGTATTCCATTGAGTAATGTTTATATGTAGAACGCCACCTGGAGTGATATAAAAAAAACAATTCATTATTTTTTTTCTCATGCGCGATTCCTTTATGACGATGAGGGTGATGATGATAATAATAATAATAATAATAATAATAATAATAATAATAATAATAAAATCAACAACAACAACAACAACAATAATAATAATAATGATGATGATGATGGTGGTGGTTATAATGATATTGATGATGTCGATATGATGGTGGTGGTGGTGGTGGTTATGATGATGATGATGATGATGACATTTGATGATTATGATGATGATCGCGACGATGATTATAATGGCGGTGATGATGATGTCGATAATTATTATTAGGTTGATGTTTGTAGGATAAAAAACAACGACTCCGGTTGAATCAGTATGTAAGCTGTAATGTGACACAAAGGTATTAATGGTCAAGCCGGCCCTACTTGCAATCAAAATTTATCACCCTTTTAAAGTGAGGGACATGCATTTTTGTAAAGTATATGCATGTGCTATTTACCGGCAGAGGAGTCATTTTTTCAACCATGGTGTTGTGTTGTACAAGTCCGCCCCTTGAGGGGACCGGTAGTGGTTCTACTGGTTACCAGCATGGGCGCAGGTCATGGGGAGATGGGGGACACGTCCCCTACATATTTTTAAGGGGGTTTTGATAACACTCACTTTTCGACCGCAACGTAATTTCAAGTAAAGAAGTTGCCTGAAAGTTGTTGAATTGAACTGCATAATTAATGACCCAGGTTTTTAACGAAAGAGCGCTGTACAGCCAAATTACATTACTGTACATTATTTTATAGCAAGATTCCGGCCCACTAATATCTGAATTATATGTAATTTGTAATACGACTCGAGTGCGCGTGCCTTTATTATATTTGAGTATGAGAAAAAGTATAAGATTGGTTTTCGGCACTCGAAGTAGGTAATGAAAGTAAATATATCAAAGACAATTAAGCTTTATTTTCTATGGTACAATACATAAGTTAATTAGATCTCTATTATTGCCGATAATTGCAGATAAAAGATCATGTGATGTGATGATGAATTTTACTATATAACAGTGTCATTTCTTGAGGTATTATTCCCCAACCATTATAGAGGCTGAGGTGGGCGTGGACTCACTTTTAAGTAAGTAAAGTAAAGTAAATACATAGAAAAGACATTTTTTTTAAATTTTATTTTCTATGAATCACGCATATTAATTAGATCTCTATGGTTGCGGAAAATCGATGGTAAAAGATCAGGAGAAATGTGTTGGCGCTTCATTTTTACTATAATGGTGATGTGGTGATGACGAATGTTACTAAATGTGACATTTCCGGCCATGAGGTACGATTTTCGCACCTCAGCCCCAACCATGGTGGGGTTGATATGGGTGTGACTCACATCTTATTGAAGTGATAAAATAAAATAAATATAACAATGACAATGTCTCAATGGTCTAATCACACATACTAATGATTCTATGGTTGCCGAATCGATGATAAAAGTTCATGAGGAATTTGGTGGCGCTTCATTTTTTTTCACCTCGAGGTCGGGGTTTCAATCCCTTGCTGTACATTTCGCTTGTGTCCTTGAGCAAGACACTTTATCTGCATTGCTTCTCTCCACCCAGGAGTATAAATGGGTACCTGGTGGGGCTGCCTGCTCCTGCACTGATTACCAGCAGCAAACACTTAGCATGTGGACCCAATGACCAGGGAAAAGGACTGCACTTTATAACCGCAAGGAAGAAGCGTATTATAAATGCCTATACCAATACCAGTTTATTCGAGAATTGCTTTGTAACATTCACAGTAATTTATTTATTCTTTAATTAATCCTGAAATGCACTTTCAATACAAATATACTGATTTCCAAAGTGGTTCAGTTAAAAATCAAATTAGATATAACATCAAATGATAGGCCTACATATAAACTTAAATAATGAAATTACAACACAAAGAAAGAATACACAATTTAAAAGTTTATCAATTTAAAGGTAAAAAAAAATATTAAGTTTGTAATTAAATAGCATTAAAATAAAGTTTTTGAAGGTAGATGTTGAAATATTTTTAAGGTCCGTTTTAATATGATTGGGGAGAGAATTCCACAATTTGGTTGATCTGTATTTAAAAGCTCTTTTACCTTAAGAAATATTCCACATGGATAAAATTAGAACTTTGAGTTTGACTCTCTTCAGTAGAAAATTAAGTTTGATAATGTTTTAGTAACGTCAAAATTCAACCTTAATTTATGCAGTAACAATACTAGCATTATTTTTTTTTTTTTTTTATAGATTATTAGATTTATATGATTATATTATTGTGATACCAGTGTTCTTATGTGATTTCACCACCAAGATACAATTGTGTAAAGATAATCTTTCTATAAAGATGTTAGCCTAATGACATGCATTACAATTTAAAGAAAAACATTTACAATTCACTTGTTTTTTTATTCCCCAACATGATTAATATGTTCCTTAAAAAACATTACACCATCACATCATAACAGATTGTTTAAAATTGGCATTTCTGTTACAAGATTATAATCTACTCTTACCAAAATTAGTAATTGCCATTCACCTTCCAATAAACTTTGCTAATTGGGCAGTGCAGCCTAAAACTTAATAGTAGATCTAATTATAGTTTGGTTGGTTTGTAAGTGAAATGCATAATAACCAATCACAGGTCAGAACTTAAGCTGTATTTCATGACATCATCATGTCCATTTATCCATTACACTGGCCCTGCTAAAAGTACAGGTTAGTTAGGCTACAATAATAAAAAAAATCTAATTAATATTATGATAAATGGGGGATATTCGCCATTATATATAGTAGCTAGATTATTACTCTTGCATCAATAATCTCAATATTTGCTCAACAGAGCTCATACATATTCTGTGGACATGAGATTATTATGTAGATACAGTGTATAGTGATTATGTACTGTATGTAGATTTCCGGATAAAAGATACAGCAGTGCTACTGCACTATATTGCATTTTATACAATTTGAAGCACTTTGACACAGTCATCTAGTTGAACAAGAAAAAAACAATACAATTGTATCCTTAACGAAAACAAACAATGAAATTGCCAAGTAATTGCTAGTTGTTTAGTCTGCGCACAGATGGGATTTTTTTAAATGTGCTAAACATCTAGTTCAAGCTATTAAACATGTAGCGTTTTCAAAATAAATATTGTTAAAATCAAAGTGTATGTTTGAAAAAGAGGGAATCTAAGACAGCTAAAGGTTATTTTACAGGTTGACAAACAAAATCACAAATTGCTTATTCATATTTCTTTTATAAATTGCCATCTTCAAAATTGGAATGCATATAGAAAAAAAAAATGGCTACGTTTTATAGTGCATAAGGGTTTAACAGGGAGGTGGGAGGGGGGAAACAATTCTGGCATTAACATGCAAAGATTTGTGCAAAACTACAGTACAGTAGTTACTATAACCCACTAAATTTATACTTTATCAAAAAACACCCATTCTTGTGTGCCAAGGGTACCAGAAGAGGGTGGTCATGGAAGTAATATTCTGTGTGTGTGTACAGGTGGGGGGTGTGCACTAGGGGTTTGGAGAGGAGATGGAAGGGAAATTTAATCTTGTGTGGAAGAGGAACAGTGACCTGTGTCACTGGAAGAACCACACCACCCTTGCACCCCAAAGTTCCAGCTAAGGATGGAATAGAGCTATCAAGAGAAGAGTGGGTTAGCGGAAGAGTTATTAGGGGGAACAATGACCTAAGTGCTTCATTGCCTCACCACATGTATGTGCCAAAATATATATAAATATAAAGTTTTTAAAATAGTTATTTACAATTAAATTTTCTTCTATACTTTATATTCTACAAACTGTCTTAGTAAATTTTATCTTAAAAAAGTATATGAATCTTTCCTTTTTTACATTTTTTTTTTACTGATATAAAAAATTACAGCAGCTACATTTGCTGCATCATATTAGACTTACTCTAACACTACATAGTCGGTGGGAACACTTGTAATTTTGAACATATTAGATCTGCGAAGCACTTTTTAACACCATAAATATAACTTTTTGTAAAAAAAATATTGTAAGATCAATAATGTTATTGTACAAAGGTTACCAAGGATAAAGATAACATAAGGGATCTGAATGCTATGTTGACCAGATATTCTCCAGAGGACAACCGCTAAACAAATTATTATTATTTTTAATAATACAGATAAAAATTAAAGTAGTTAAAAGTTATAAAGTACATCAAACCATTAAATATTATCTACAAAACAAAATTAAAATGTTTTAATAAACAAACAGTCAAGTGATTATGTGTTGGTCACACTATTTAGTGTCACCACTAAAATGGACATCTAGAAATTGTGGCTTATTACATTGCACTGCACAGCCAATCACAGGGATTTAGAGCTTACGATGTCAAAATAATGAGTACACGTTTCATTTCTTATTCTGCTTCTGCTTGTTTTTCCTCCTCTTTCGCTTCTTCGTCTTCTTTCGGCTCTTCCTCTTCCGTCCCTTCTTCCTTCATTTCTTTCTCTTCTTTCGTGTTTTTCTTTTCTTTTTTGGTTGCTTGTTGCGTATTACCTTCTTTCACAGATTTCTTAGATGAAGGCCTACTTCTCTTTGAATTGTCTGCCTGTAAAGATAGAGAGCACAATAAAAGGTTGACATCACATAATATAATTATGTACAGGTACATTCTACAATTTAGTAAAACATAAAAAGTTAAGACAATTCTGTGACATCAGTAAATCATATTAGATACATGAGTAAATTTCCAATACAATTAAAATCGTAACGGAACGGTACTGGGTTTGGTCTACAGGAGAAGCTGTTTGATGGAGAAAAGTGTACCTTTTCAGCAAGGGTTGCCCATGTTAAAACTAACTCTGGCTATATAAAATTGTTTCGGATTGAAAATTATTGATATAATATTCTAATGTTAACATTATATACATCATTAATTAACTGTACGCTTAATGTTATATTCTGATATATAATGATCTGTCATCCTCCTTTGTCATGATTGTTTCATGTTTCCATTCTGTAAGTGGCGGGTACAGGAGCTTTACAGTAGAGCCACTGTCATAAACAGTTTGTACCTCCTTGTCCACATTAACTATTATATATTCAGAAGTAATTATTCTTCATTTTTAAAACTGCAGCTCATTCAATTATAAAAATATTAAACTTTAAATGAAAGTAAGGCAAGCATGTTTATAGAGTGGTACTAAAATTAATCTTTGAAATAATATTCTGTTAATACCATTTTGGAGTTGACAAACCTGAAAAATAATCTAAATTCCTTACTTTATACATAGATTCTAATTCAATAAAATTGTTATTACCAATTTGCAGGCATATAATTAACACCATTCTTATATTTTCTTATATTATGAACTTTAAATTGCCTGGTAATCAATTTTAGAATGTCTATATAAAATGTTATTGAATCAGTGGAAACTGAAGTTGTTTTTAATTGTGTTTTACTGCTTCTGTACCGTTTTTAGTCTTTGTAGCTCCTTTTCTTTTTGTTCAAGCTCCCACCAGTCTCTGGGATATCTGGAAATGCTGTCCATGAAGGCTTCGTTTTCATCCCATTCTTGCTCCCACTTCAGGTGGTTGTATTCCGGTTCTCGTGCTAAAATACGTCTCAAGATTTCCTGGTTCTCCCTAGTCACTCTTAATAATTCACGCTGTCTTTTTTCCTTGTTTAAACTTTAGAGACAAATGGTGGATTGAAAAATCACTAAAGTCACTATAATGTATAATGTGATAAATAATGGGGTTTTTTTTAATGCAAGAAAAAAGGTAAAACATTATTTACAAGTTATTTAAAGAAGTGTACACATTAATCTCAATATCTCAATACTTCACTCTGTCTTTTTTTCTTGTTTAAACTTTTGAGACAAAAAATGGATTGAAGAATGTGAAACATTTCCTTATGTGTATAATGTGATAAATAATGATTTTTTCTTTTTAAATCACTAAAGTCACTATAATGTATAATGTGATAAATAATGGGGATTTTTAATGTAAGAAAAAAAGTAAAACATTTGATTACAAGTTATTTAAAGAAGTGTACACATTAATCTCAATATCCCAATAATTCACTCTGTCTTTTTTTCTTGTTCAAACTTTGGAGACAACAAATGGATTGAAGAATGTGAAACAAGTCACTATGTCTATAATGTGATAACTAATGTTTATTTTTAATGTAAGAAAAAAAAAATTTAAAAATTTTTTTATAAGTTATTTAAAGGACTGAAAACATTAATTTTCATGTCATGTCCAAAATGTTGATAAGTCCAACTACCTTTATATTTAACAGTAAATTCAATAACTACTTATTTTGTGCAAGTAAAGGAGGACAGTATTTTTAAAGCAATAATTGTATTTGTGTGATCACAAACTTATTCATACAGAACTACAGTACTTGTTGGTGTTTTATTAACTCCTAATAAAAAAAATATTGTGTTGTTCAATACATATTCATGGCACAAGTTTGTTACTGTACCTTTTATATTCATAGTCATTCCAGTTGTCAACACGACCTTTCGTACGCATAATTAAGGACATCTTTTCAAGTAGGATGCGGTTGTCACGTTCTATTGTTGCTAGGCGCTCTTCTTCAAGCTTAAACATAGATTGAAAGTAATTATTAAAACTTCCTGTTAGCTAACTGATGAAAGAATGCACATTTTAATAAATTATAATTTAGTTATACAGTATACGATAGTTGTTCAAATGTGAATCTTGCATTTAGAAGCTAAAATATGATATAAGTATATGCTATATAAATTGCATAAATATTTAAGAATTAGTATAATTTGCAAAAAGAAAAATATTTCATTTCATTTCATTTCATTTCATTTATTTCGCCTTTTTTTTTATTTTTTTATCATAACAATACAGTAAAATATTCAGAAAATTTGAAAAGGTAATCCATGTTTCCCCCAAGAGCCGGCAGGATTACCAAAAAGTAAAATTAATTACTGTCTGAGTGGCAAAATATGAAATTTAAAATAAAAACAAACAATTTTAGAGATAAAATGGAGAAGACATAGAGAAAAAAAAAATTGCTTTAACACTCCACTAATTTTGAAGTACAAGTATAGTAGAAGCTTAAATCAAAAGGTAAATAAATTAGGATTGACCAGCATTGCTGACGTTTTTAGTGCAGGTTTGACCATAAATGTGAAAACTTGTGCTCTCAACATCATCCATATTCATGCAAAATGTAATGTATTATGAGACAGCATTATTGATTAAGTTATTGACTACACCATAAAAGGCTGTGCTATCTTTAGACTAACAATCTTTTATTTTAATTGATTTACATTTCCAACCACACAGTGGCATTCAGTTGACTTAATGCAGCTACTCAACTTTGATGATTACAATAAAATAATGTGTATGTTGGTGGAAGAAATTACTGAAGGTTGTTTTTACAATTGAAGGTTATTCTTGAATAGAGAGGTTTGGGTTATTTTTATTTATAACAAATAAATTAAACTCAAAATTGTAAAATCAAACTCTGATAATAATGATAATATCATTAATGTCTCTTAAAAAAAGAGGCACAATCCTCAATTAGAAATGCAACAAACCCAATATGAAAAGATTGCAGGGAAATGTTGTCACATTCTATTGTTGCTAGGCGCTCTTCTTGAAGCTTTAAACATAGATTGAAAGTAATTATTAAAACTTCCTGTTAGCTACCTGATGAAAGAATGCACATTTTAATAAATTATAATTTAGTTATACAGTATACTGTAGTTGTTCAAATGTGAATCTTGCATTTAGAAGCTAAAATATGATATAAGTATATGCTATATAAATTTAAATATTTAAGAATTAGTATAATTTATAAAAAGAAAAATATGAAATTTAAAATTAAAAAAACAAACAATTTTAGAGATAAAATGGAGAAGACATAGAGAAAAAAAAATTGCTTTAACACTCCACTCATTTTGAAGTACAAGTATAGTAGAAGCTTATTAATCAAAATGTAAATAAATTAGGATTGTCCAACATTGCAGACGTTTTTAGTGCAGGTTTGATAATAAATGTGAAAACTTGTGCTCTCAACGTCATCCATATTCATGCAACAAATGTATTATGAGACAGCGTTATTGATTAAGTTATTGACTACACCTTAAAAGGCAGCACTATCTTTAGACTAACAATGTGTTATTTTAATTGATTTACATTTCCAACCACACAGTGGCATTCAGTTGACTTAATGCAGCTACTCAACTTTGATGATTACAATAAAGTAATGTGATGTTGGTGGAAGAAATTAAGGTTTATTTTACAATTGAAGGTCATTCTTGAACAGAGAAGTTTGGGTTATTTTTATTTATAACAAATTTAAACTCAAAATTGTAAAATCAAACTCTAATAATAATGATAAGAACTTTATTGTCTCTTAAAAAAAAAGAGGCACAATCCTCAATTAGATGCAACAAACCCAATATGAAAAGATAATCCTTTTAACAACAATAGGTATAAATATGCATTAAGGAGAACTGTAAATACATAAAAAGCAATAAAAATTTGAAGGGAATTGAGAAATTATTTTATAATGACATAAAAAAATATATATATTTTAGCTGTGTATAGAAAAGTATTGCAAATGTCACTGCATTCTTTCCATTCAGTATTTAAAAATGAAATACAATATTTATTCAAAAGTTTTACATGCCATTTCATAATTACTGTACAGTATTGTTGGTAAGTAAATGTTGTTATAATTTGATTCATTATGGATCTTCAAACAAACAGCGGTATTTAAGCTCAGGAGAAAAAAAGTCCCAAAATACATAAAATTACTATGATATAAGTCTTCTTTATTAAGTCATCTTAATATCGATTCTCTAATAAACACAATAAAGCATCTGTTTTTTTTAAATTCTTACTGTATGTAAAAGAAAATATTACTATTTTTTTACATTATTTTTGTAATTTTTAATATAAAAAAATTGTTGCCCCAAGTTTATGTGTACAGTATTTAACAATTTTTGCATAAATTACCTTAAAATTTTAGACTCTAGTTTTCAAATGTACCTGGTGCTTTAACTCAAAAGTGTTTTTTTTTAAATTTTTTTATTTGCAATATTATTAATAATAATAATAGTAATAATAATAATAATAATTAAACTGTATGCTAAAGCCTCATTGCGTTAATAAAAAAAAAGCCAGAAATTGAAGTAATATATTGTTTGAAGTTTTAAAAAAGAGTTGAACTTGTCTAAAGTTAAATCCAAAATGACAGTGAATAATTGTTCGACCTAGATAAAATTTGACTTACAGATTGTTAAATAATGGAAAAAAACAACAATTTCGCATGAAAAATAAGATTGACTTAAAAATTATTTGACTTTGGGAAAGTCGACTTTTTTTTAGGCAAGTTTAAATATATTGCTGAAGAGGTGAATTAATATAAATGATTTATAATCAAATAAAAACCAAAAATTAATCAAGACTATTAACTAGATAAAATTCTGCATAAAATTTTGTCATACAGTACTGGTAAGCCAAATTTCAACCTTGTTATCATAAACACAACAATTTCATAGATTTATTTACCTGTAGCTTTTTAAGTTTAAGGTGAAGATGGACATATGTTGTTGGTGCTGATGTATCTACCATGGACTTCGCTTGTCTCACCTGCAAATAATCAAAGTACAGAAAAAGCTCAAAGTTTGCTAGTCATCAGTGATGTACATTTCGCAGTGGTGGCGTTGGAAGGTTGGAAGGTTGGAAGGTTAAGCCTGGGCTTATCCAACAATTAGTGGGTGGGTTAACACTGCTGTAGGCCCTAAATAACTTGCCAAAATATTGAACAGGTTGATGGACCACCAGTTGGCTGTTGTTTGTTTTGGTCGAAATATAGTACAGAAGATTACAGTACATTTTAATAAATCACCAAACATAGTGTACCAGAATTTTTTAGGGTCTTGGTGTATGGATTCCAAAAGGAATTACATAACATTATAGAACACACACATTTGAGGCTGTTACAACTGTTTTAACCTTTTAAATCCGGTTTTGGGTAAATAGAAGTAATAAGCTCAGGTACTTCATAACACAACATGCCAAAAAGGCCTCTGTGTACTTAACATAAAAGCATAGTCAATTATTGTGAGCTTCACATCTTCAGATAATTTAAAAAACAGTTGATACTCTTACTTCCACCCACAACAAATAAACCTTTGTCTAAAATAGCTTTATCTCATTTATACCATATTTTAAGATAAAATTTTTCTTTTGTCTGGAAAGCTCTTTCAATGTACTGTAATATTAACCCTTTCACTGCTGTAGGTATATGCACCCCCTGTGCTGGGACTTTTTTTAACGAAAATAGTTAATTTTTAAAATAATTCAAAAAAAAATACTAAAAGAGGTTATTTCTAAATTCTTTTTGTGTGTTGGGGCGAGCAATAGGTTGGCCTACGCGAGGAACATTGATATTTGGTATTTTGCATAATTAGGTAGTCATGTGACCTCAAAGTCGCCATTTTGAATTTCTGTTTTTTCTCAAATTTTGATAAAAAACCCAATTTTTCCCAATGAAATTTTTATGGAATGTTTTTTTTTTAACTTTATAATGATGCAGACACACATGGTGAATAAAAACAAAAAAAAATGAGTTAGTTCGATCGTTTTATTCCAAAACCGCAAATAATCAAAGTTTTTCTTCAAAATTGTGAAAATATATAATTTTGCAGAAAATCACTGTTAGATGTACTTTTTGCCATACGTTTTTATTTATGCTTTATATAATCCAGGTTGTAAATATAAATGCATCGTTGCAAACATCATACGGTTACTTTATTTTAGAACTACAAGTTTTTCTTCAAAATTGTGAAAATATATAATTTTGCAGAAAATCACTGTTAGATGTACTTTTTGCCATACGTTTTTATTGCTTTATATAATCCAGGTTGTAAATATAAATGCATCGTTGCAAACATCATACGGTTACTTTATTTTAGAACTACAGTATAAAAATTAGCCTGTTCTATTGTGTGAAATGTGGAAAGGAAATCTGCGGACAAGGCATTGCCACCTTGACCCTGTGCAGGGCCTCCCAAGTTGAGAGAATCATCGTTTTCGTCCTTAGAATCACTGTCGTCACTATCATAGTCGACTGGGGGAAAAGAAATGCAAGAATCATCCAATTCAAAGTTATCTTCACTATCCGTATCTGCAAAGATCTGGTCCACAGCTTCGACGACATTGTACCGTCTGTTTTGAGGCCGTGCACCCGCCATTTTGCGCCTAACCACTCGAAAACACTTTTTTCCGATAAAAGGTTAATTATAGTTCATAGAAAAAAACTATAGAGGGCGCAGAACCTCTTCCTGATTTTTAACAATATTATTTCTACATACCCGGTAGTACCGGGTACGCGCAATTCAACAATATGTGTTTATACCCGGTATTACCGGGTACACGCAGTGAAAGGGTTAAACACCCTGGTCTCCCAAGAGGTCCATTTTATGGTAGGCCTACAGTATTTAAACCTAAATTAAAATTACGAAAATTTTAAAAAGAGGTAAAAATATTAATTTGCAATGCACAAAGATAAGAAATTAATAAGAAAGTTTTTGATAAAATTCACTTATATCTAAATAAGGCATAGGCCTGGCCTCTATCTATGGTCATCTTGCTGGATGACAGCATTTTACAAATGCTCATCGATTGTGCACTCAACACCATTATTTCTCCAACAAAAATTGAAAGAATCCTAGGCCGCATATGCTAGGGCCTAGTCTTGGGCTAGGCCTAGGGATGTAGTCCATACTGTAAAGTTTTTAATTGCGTGGAGGATATCTAAAAAATTAGCTCAAAATTTATTTATAGCGTATTCATAACGTATTTGACGTATAAATAACGTATTAGAACTTATATATAACGTTTTAATTACTTATAGAAAACTTACACGAACGAATGCTTAGCGTGACGCGCTATGCACAGCGCGCTGCAGCGTATCGCCGATGATCATGTGACGTAGCCTATAAAAAGGCTGCTGCTTGTCGATTCAAATTATAACTGCACTAGACATCGCAGTATCAACATCACCGTATTGACATCACCCCATTTTAATATACCTATTCCCCTAAATGCTGCCAATACGCCATTATACGATAACTGTAAGTTACAAACATGTTCAGTAAGTTTTGTGGTCGTCTGGAACTCGTCAAATACGTCTACATACGTTATACGTTGGAGATAAGTTCGTTATAAGTTACATATAAGTTTGAAGCATGTTACTCATAGGTTAGAAATACGTTTTGACTTTGAGTGACAAGTAACGTGTGTCAACGATCGCTTAACTTACCTACAACGTATGGCCCGCGTATGCAGAACGTACAAGCCTACGCTGGCATGCGTCAAAAAGTTTTGTGCATGCACAAAACTTTTCAACGTACTCCCCGTACTAGGAAATTTACCAGTGTGCTTCAGTTGTGCTCTTAACTTATACGAAACTTTCCAATAACTTATCCAACGTACGCCAGCATATTCGCCATTTTTTTCATACGTTGGCATACGCTGGCTAAATCGTCAAGGTGTGACAGGGCCATTAAAAATAATTTGGTAACCGTTTTCAGGGCTGGATGCGAAACCGTATTAGCGCCCCAATCATAGACCAACGTTATCGCCCACCCTTAAAATGTCTATTCATAAGCCTAGGCCCTCCTATCCACCCTTAGTTAGTCTAGACTAGCCTAGGGCTAGGTTTCTAAAGCTACAACCCTGCAGTAATAATAGGCTAGGCCCAGCCTTGGCCATAGCCTCATGCCAGAAATCCTAGTGTCTAGTGTAGGTAGGAGGAGGGCCTTGGCCGTGCCTACAAGCTTTGTAGGGGCACTATGTCTAGGCCTACTATTTACTCTATACTTGGGTAGAACTAGCCTAGGCCTACCTACGCCCAATCTAGTATTAATAGGCCTAGGCATTGCTAGGCCCCCTAGTTACATATCCATTCACCTTCTGCCGGTGTTCTTCATAGTATTTCTGATCCCATCTCTTTTGTAAAATTCTACTCTGGCAGGGAAGAATAGACTGGTAAGATTTATGCATGGTTTTGGATTCTAATATACTAAAAATTACTTAAAGAAACAGTGGTTGAAACTCCGTATCCTCCCTCTGGCTCCGTGAGTTGCGATTGATAAATTAATTACGGTGTGGTAACCTTTTAATATCTAAGCCCCCAAGCCTTCGGCGCTCTCTGGATGGGTGATTCGCTAAATCAATTTGTGTTGACATAGATCACATGACCCGTGTTACCATAGCTACACTAACAATGCCAGTGTGGCATATTGTGGCTCTGACCAATAATACCTCCATGCTCTGACCAAGGCAATCCAACACGGAATTAAAGCCATCATTTTAAAAAATGATGATATTGATAACTCAATATCATAAAAAAAATGTTTAATTATTGTAATATAATAGAGGGCGACCTACACAAGTGCTGTATCTTGAAAACTGTAATAATCACACACAAAGAATGAATACTTGCTCCAGGGTGGCTTGTCTAGTAGGCGAGCAGATTACGGCCAAAAAGTCCTCTAAAAATCGTCGAGGTGGCAATGGAAGTACTACCGGCTAATTTTGATATTTTCTGAAAATATAGCTCTTGAGAAATTCAGAACTTAAAATTACCCAAAATCCCTTTGGGGGAACACCTCCAAATTACGCATTCAAAATGGCCGCCATTTTTCCGCTTTAAATTATAGTTTTAGCTAAATTATATAAAAATAACATCACTCGAATAATCATCATCAACAATTTGTGAAACTTATTCAAAACATTCGTTAATTATCGAAAATGAATCTTGCGTTAAGAAAAACTACAATTTCAATCACCATAGCAACCGTTGCTATGCAAATTTAAATTCCCTATTTTATTCATGAAATTTAAGTATACAGGAAGATTAAAGTTTATGAAATTCTTTATTTTCATAGGTTTTATGAATATGTTTAACATCTGAATTATCTATTATTATCGTAGAATAGGATTATGTAAAAAAAATGCTGAAACTTTAATATAATTGCATAGCAACACTCTTTTTATCGTCCATAGCAACGAAGCAAAATCAGCAGAATTGCACATACATTTGTCATTGACCAAGCAAAAATCATGAGATACAATATATTTATATAATAAACATCTCTAATTAAACAAAGTTAACACGTTGATGTATAAAATATACAAGGTCATCACCATAGCAACTGTTGCTATGCAAATTTGAATTTCCTATTTTTTCATAAAATAATTATATAATGAAGACCTAAAGTATAGTAATAAATTAGTATAGGATTTATGAAAAAATGTTTATTAAATATCCTAAGATAACACAATTTAGTATGAAAGCAAGGTCATCACCATAGCAACTGTTGCTAATTGAAATATCCTATTTTTTTGTAATTTATTAAAATGAAAACCTAAAATTTATTAATATAATTAAAGGTTTCGTGAGAGATGTTTAGTAAATATTAATATTGTAAGATAACATAAATGAAAGATAACATCTTAATGTGAATACAATATTGATAGTTATCGCCATAGCAATAAATAAAAATCACTAGAATTGCTGTTTATTTGGCTTTACATTTTTTTAAATAACACACGGTCTTTGTTTAAAAAAAAGTGTACATAATAATGTTAAAAATAGGTAATCACCATAGCAACCATTGCTTCTAGCAAACTTAATGAAAACTTGTAAGTTTAATGAAAAATGTTTATTAAATGTTTATTTACATATCTTCCCAAATTTCTCTTATTTTGTTCACATCTTGTTGGAAACTCAACTTCGATACCTATGTCTTAGTTATGTCCTCTTTTTAGTTTTTCAATTTCATGTCATGTCTTTTAATTCATAAACATCATAGCCCATTCTTCCTCCAATTCTAGTATTAAATCTGTCACCTGCCACTACTGTAGCAACTCTAAATATTCAAATGATTGGATTGGATTTATTCGGTGTAAAGGATAGCCCACGAAAGTCTAGAAGAAGGCTTATTTCCAGTGGGGTCCTTCTGGTGGCAGCGCCGCACAGTGGGCCAGATTGAAGTCAAAGTGTGCCAAAATTAATTAATAGTATTACAGAAGCTAATCTAAGCGAATACAAGACTTATCTAGAGGTTTTCATACCCGTAGAATTCAATAAAAGCATTTTCAAATCTATATGACGTCATTTTTGTACTGTTTTCTGATTGGACGATGTTAGTTTTCATTGTAATAATTGAAATTACAAATTAATTTTGAAATGTTTAAGGAGGTTTGGGACAAAAGAACTTCTGTGGAAAACATTTTTGTATTTTCCATGACGTCATCAAAATACATTTTTCTGATTGGACGGGGACAAAAGTGGCATAGGCCAACATTAAAATTTGTATTGTTAATCTTACAGAAATCAAAATCAAAATTCATAATAATTCCAGACAACCTAATTTTGCATTTTTTAAATGTAAAATGTGTTTGCATCTGAGATTCTATGGAATTATCAGACATTTCCTACACCAATGTCATGATAATGATAATCATATATTGTCATATATTAATTCCGTCCCCAATCGTATTAGGCCTATGTTGTAAAAGTATCGATAATGGTCGTTTTATGTTTTTTTAATAATTCTCAGTGCAGTATGAACGAGGAGGCTTTGAAGAGGAACTTTTGCTGTCCTCTTTGACAGGTACACTGTACCACCAGGATAGCAATGCTTTTTTGCTACTCTTTATTTTGGTGTAAGGAGGAGTCTCATTTTACTATGGAGCTACAAAAATGGACAATGTTTCATCTGTCATGAACGATTCCGGTTTGCGCCTCAGGGGTGACGCCAGCAGGGGGAATCGGGCAGGGTCCCCGTCGAGGAGAGGTCCCCGTCGAGGAAAGCT